AATTAAATAGTAGCCATAACTTGGAACAGATTATTTGCTAAAATTTAAGAAGATTATGAGGACTATCACACAATCATCAGCAAAGCCCGACCAGCTTTTCCCTCGATAATTTTTGCACTGACTTCATTGGAGGTATAGTACCTATATTTTTAGACACAACAAATGAACACCAGAGGGGCAAGATAGGAGTATGGAATTAAGAGATACAAATCACTATGTATCAAATACATAAGCCTCAAGGATATACTGTACCACACAGGGAATACAGTCAATATTTTATAACTATAAAGAAGTATAACCTTTAAAAATTGTGAATCACTATATTGTACACCTGAAACATACAATATTGTACATCTATACCTCAATAATAAAAAAATTTCAAGATAAATGACAACACAGTATTAGTGATTATACTTAGTTCAATTTATAAAAAGTAAGTATTTTTGTAAAAGTATATGAGACTTCCAAGGATAATAATACAACCCATGAAAATTCTTTTTTTTATCAAACTGAATGTATCTCTGTGATAAAAGTATGTTCATTTTTTAATTTCTAACAAAGATATAATAAATTGTCTTGCTTACAGTACAAGGTAAGTAACAGGTATCCTGAAAGTTAAGCAAGTTGGGGTTCCTTATAATTTTCTCTTATTACTGTATAGTCTTTTGTAACTATAATAAATCTATAAATAAATAGCATAAGTTTCTAATGTTAAATGACTATTCTATGAAGACAGTCCCGATACTCGAATCTAAAGTGATTAACAAATTAATACTGTTCTGTGACTAAAACAGATTAAGTCAGAATATTCAGTCCCTTTTTCTGAGCTCTATGAGTTTTTTTTTGTTTTAATAGCTTTAAACAGATACATTAGATCTGAAAATTAACCTCGATCTGGGTGTCCTCTAAAATAAAAGTACTAGTGAAATTCTCTAAACTAAAAACATTAAGATAGGATTTAATTAAATGTACTATTTGAAAGTTTAAATACATCATGGAGCAAAAATAATCGTATCTGAATTCAAGGGACTTTCAAAAGTAATCACCTTTTAATAAAAAATTAGAACATGAGCTGTCTTATGAGAATGCAGAGACACACACTGTCTTTAAGTGAAAGAAGAGGCTGTTTCCTTCAGTTAAGCCTTCAATCAAAGTGTTTTCCCATTTATTAAATTCAGAAACCTAGAACGATCCTGTACATCTGATATGTTCTGATGAACTGCATGAAAAATACCAGTAATTATTAAATTTTCAAGACCTTGTTGACATTTCTGATTTTATTCCCGTGTCATTTACTCAAACAGCCTACAACACCGGATATGAATTTTAAAGCAGCGCAGGCCAGGCAAGGCCAGAGTCTTACTGATGAGATTTCAGCAAAGAAGAAGCCAATATTAAGTAAGACAAATGGGACTAAATAAATAATCCAAAGACAGAGCTTCTTTTCCTTTTTTAAAAAAAAAATGCCATATACCAAACTATCTTATGACTTCTGAAAACATCTATTTCAATATTTTATCTTACTGATTTTCAGAGTAATCAAAGTAATACATTTTTTCTCTGAGACTATTAAAAATCACCCTCTGTAAGTATTTATAAGGACTTCATTCTAAAATAGAAAAAAAATTCAAAATTCTTCTGTAGGATACTAAAAAAAAAAAGGTATGTGTACTATGTGACAATAATCTTTAAAAAGAAATGCTTGGATTAACTTTAAGTGTCATATTTTATATCTGTTTCAGCATTAAAAAAAAAAGAGCAAAAGAAATAAGAAAATGAAGATGCTCATGCAGAGTAAGTATCTTACTTCTGTGGACATCCTGGCTCCCAAGCAATATAACTGAGTCAAAATTAACTCAAAAGTACAATATCAGGAATTTTATCTATTGCAGTGGTTAAAAGTGTAAAATTTGGAATTAGATTTCATCTGAAATTTGAGCCCATTTCTTACCAATAATGTGGCATTGAAGATTCTACTTCAGGGTCCCCTCCAAAATTATCTAATGAAGTTATAGTAAATAAGTGAGATATTATAATTTACTAGACTAGTGAATTAGGTTCTAATTATTTTACGTTCTAATCAATCAGGGAAACTGTATTTTTCATTGAAAAATTAATCAAAGTCATTTTCTTTGTCTGTAACCTACTCCTGAAAATATAACTTCCTCCTCTATTTTCAGCCTTTTAACAGTTCAATAATAACAAAAAAGACCTCTCTACTGTAAGTCAGAGGAAGGGGGAAGCAAACTGAAAAGCAATATGAAAATTACCACTTGAGTTATTTCATTAGTTAGTGTCTGCATTTAAAAACATACTTTATAAGAATATGTCCCAAACTGTTCATCATGATTAACATCAGGAGGTGTTTTTAGAGACTTTCATTTTCTATGTTAAATATGCATGCAATACTAACATTTCTGCTACTGTGGTGTATGGCCTTTAGAATAAGAAAGAAATTTGTTTCTAAAATGTGTGAGGTTGTTGGGGCCCTGGGCAGGCCACCCCCAAAATATACCTCAATGGTATATTAGATTATTCTGAACTACAACCAATGGAAAATAAATGATAATAAACAAAAAAAAACAACTATGTTGGTCCTCTTTCCCCCTAGAAGTGGGAACTCAATCTCCCATGTGAAGGTGTTCTCCCTATTCAAGGAGTATAAAAAGCATCTTCATTCAGAGTTAGGGAATTCAAGGCTAAGCAAGCTGTACAAACAAACTTTCTTATTTCATTAGTCTGCAACCCCAGCACAAGCCTATCTGTTTTGTTACATCTTCTCAAATTATTGTCTCTTTGTCTAAAAATTATAAATGGCCTGCTTTGGACACTTCTGGGGTCCCATTTTTATGAGACTTACATGCATATACTTTTTTTTTTAGACTGATCTAATCTTTCTTATGTCTTAGACCAGCCAAAAAGAACTCAAGAAGGATTGGAGGGAAATTCCTCCTTCCTTACAAAGCTCTGACATCCTTCAATGAAAATTTAACAGAAAGCTTGAGGATTTTTGGATAATCACATTGGCAACAAACCAGAAACACAACCATAAAAGCTTCCTAACAAATTTAAAACACTCAAGCTGGCCTCAAGTTTGTTCAGCATAGCAATACAGGTAACAGTGATATAATATCCACAGAGTATTGACTGAAGAATGTTCTGACTCATAACTTCTGTATCAAGTCAGTTTGTTCTTCTAATGTAAATTCAAAAGAAAGACATTTTGAAAGTAGTATGATTATTATCACATAGATATATCTAACAAACAATAAGTAATAAAAATTTTTTAAAGAAATAAAGTAGATGAAATACTATTTTTTAACAAGTGAAAAACACAACCATGCAGCTCAGTATTATCTGATTAGCTGTTATAGTTACAAATTTTAATTGCAAGCATCAAAAATAATTATTAAAAAAAGAACACAACAAAGTAAAACACACACACACAACCAAAATTCCAGGTAATTCCTGAAAGAATTTGGAATTAATAGGGTGAGTTGTAAGAGTTCAAATTTATGTTTAATTCTTATGTAACATCAGAAACTACTTACATACACCCCTTTTGTTTCCATTAAATATAGAGAAAAATTGTATGTTTAATGTCTTTAAAGATAGTATGAAAACAACACATAAAATATTAAAAAGAGGAAACAAAAGGAATCAATAAAATAATTTGATGAAATTTGTTATGAACCAAATCAGACATGTACTTAAAAATTCCCTTTTATACAACCAATAATCTCACAGTGAATCTAAAAAATAAAAGCTTACATTAGTACTTGTATTTACACACAAAGGTGTGACTAAACAAACTTTAACTATAGTTAATAATCACAGCAAACATTTATATAGTGCTTACTACAGGCCTGGCATCATTATGCAGATTCAAATATATTAACTTACTTCACCCTCAAATGACATTTTGGGTTAGTAACCTTAATCCCATTTTACAGCTAAGAAAAATGCTTGCCCGGAAAGTTACTGGATTTGCCCAAGGACATATTGCTAACATTTAGATTTGAAATTTAAGTCAGCCTGGCTGAATCCAGAGCACAGGCAGTTCTGGATATACTCTGGATACCCAACACACACTACAACCTTCCTAATTAAAGGGACTATAAGAAACATACCTTTTGAAATCTCAGGTGGTTCTTTCTCCTTACGTTTACTTATGTGAAAGGAAGGGTACAAAGGGGAAAGGTGGCAACAAGAACGGGTTAGAGAATGGTTAACGTCCAAGACCAGAGCTGTGACTGAGCAAAGACCCTGCTTTCCGGGTCACAGCTGTCCTCATAGATGATGAGGCTGTCCTAAGGCGAATTCCCAGTTAGAATCGTCAGGCTCTGCCCTTATGAATACACACGCTGTCTCTGAGGAACAGCACTGGCACAAGCTTCCTCCTCTCCATCTCCCTGAACAACCTGTTCCTCTCTCTTCCTCACAGTGAAGTCTTCTCAATCAACTCTGTTTCTGTTTCTTTAGGCCTATTCTTTATTCCTTCCCCCAACACTTTTCATCTCGAGTCCGCAATATACTAAGAGGGAGGTATCTTCTACTTACATCCTAGGGTAGGGAAGAGATACACACAGAGTGGTAAGAACTGGAGAGTCTACAATGTGTATGTTTCTTCCTTTACCAGTTCATGTGTTTGTGGAAGATTATTTATATGTATGAGTACTAACACTACATAGTTTTGATTTTTAAAAATATATCTATTACGTCTTAAGGTATTCATATCAATTGCAAAGGCAGAATTATTTGCTAAACCCTACAGTAGAAGGACATCTCCATGGATACAGGCTCTCCTGCAAAGATTTCTATGAGCAACATATCGCTTATGAAAATCAATTTCTTCTTTTACAAAAATCAGAGTTTACTACAGACCCTTAAATGACCTATAAACAAAAAAGTATCACATTTGTTCCCTTTTTTTTAATATGAAATATATAAGTTGGAGTAGAACATGGTATTCCAAGAGTTGTTCACATTCTTTTACTTACAGCCCTCATAGATGTCGGTGGGAATATGGACTGCTGCATGCTGATACGATATTTGTCGTCCAAAATTAGCATCTTCAATGAAAACAGGTTTTATCCTCTGGCTGCCTGGCTCACTGTCATTTTTTTCAGACTACACAGAAGAGAGACAATAAACAGAACATTACAGGTTACGTTAATACAGATATTCTTACATTCACTTCTTCATTTGCTATAAGCATATTCTTCAAAAAAAATAGATCGAAAAGAATATTTTAAAATACACTACCATGATGACATCAGACACACAAATTTCCATTTCTGCTGTTAGCAATCAAATTGTATCTTCATGACGTCACTCACATTATAACCTAACTTCTCTCCTAACTGCCTCAATGTTGGAGTCACTCAGGATCATCTTGAGAGGACCAGACCTTTCCCACACTCATTACTTATTAAATTGCACATTTCAATGATAAGAGTAAGTGCCTTTAAATACAACTGAATTAAAAGTTTCTCCTTGAAATAAATTTCACTCTTTAAGTTTACATAATTCTTGGTTTGATAACTAAGGGTACACATGAGCACAAAAAATAGCCAGTGAAGGATTATTCTATGTCGTATTTCCTTGATTTTTACATGTTATAAATTTTTGTTTTAAAAAAGAAAGTACAAATACCAGGAAAGAAAAGATCTATTGTAACTCTAAGTACAATTGAATCCTAACTTCAACCAATTTGTCTCCTGAGGTAGGAGCAAAGATCCAATCAATAACAATTCAAGAAAATCCCACAAGAGTTTAAGGTTGGAGATTAATTTTCTACCTATTTGAACTATGCTTTAGATACTAAATTACCTTAACAAGAAACTAAGAATCTCCTCATTTATCCAAAATGGATCTCTGTAACAGTTGTTTTGGCTACATTAAACTTTTTTTCAGTTCAAATATGGTTATTTTAACTCTTTCCTAACTAAACATTTTTGAATTCAATTCAGACCTTCATTATCAAATCCTTCATTTTAAAGACTGATATTTTCCATATTCTCAAGGTGTAAGAATAAAACAAAACTGAAGCCTCAAAACAAAACTGAAAAAAAAACCAGCCCATAAAATTTGACTACTTTCACAGCACAATGCAGTAATGCAAGTAATAAGCAATAGAAAAGACTTAAGTAGACAACCAGAAAATTTCCTCAGAAAGCTGGTAGACTGCAGCAACACAGGTCTACAAAAAGTGATAAGTGCCCAACTTACTAGATGACTTACTTGAAAATTTCTATAGCCAGATAACCCAATAGTATCCCAAGACATTTTAACACCTATATACACACATAGAGAGAGACAGTGAGTGTGTGTGTGTGTGTGCGCGTCCGTGTGTCCCCAGGAAACCGCAACACTAGAAAGATCAACACACAAATATTAGTTACAGGGATTTTTTTAATCAATGACTTCTAAAGCTGTAAATCCAACCCATCATTAGGTAATAACATCAATTTAATAGGTCAAGACCAAATTATTTTTCAAATAAAACAGTGTTGAAAGAAAATATGAAAATACAGTCGCTATAATAAGGGGAAGGACTATACTTGCAAGTGTGGTTTAGTTAGATGCAACTGCGTGTGTGTGTGCCCATATGGGTAATGTGTGATTGGATTGTAAAGTTTGGTATCAATAAAAATAGTTGAAGACAGACCACTATTTTTAATCCATGTGAAAGCCACAAAGATATAATTGCTCTCCCATTAACAAACTGAAAATACAAAAAAAAAGGAAACAGTAGTATTGAAAGCCAAAACTTTCGCAAAATCCCTATATGCAGGAATCACTAATTCGTTCTTTTCTAAAATGGAGGTTGTGTGCACCACGAAGGTTAAGAAAAGAAACACAGAAGAAAGATGACAAGGAAGAGACACCATCGAGCAAAAGAACACTTAACCTAACACATCTGCCATGTTTCCAATTGTCAGTAAAGAGAAGAATAAAAATGGTAAGTAGGATTCAGTCTTGGATACAATCATGAATTTTAATATATTTTAAAATTCATCCTCTATTCTATGGGTGTCTATTCCTGAACACAACTGACTTGAATAAGAGAAGGGAACTTTAAAACAGACTATTTTCATTAATAATATGAATGTAAAGAGGGTTCCAACTAATGAAAGATGTCATTATTCTCAGCTGCAAAACACTCTGAATGTGTGAAACACCTCAATATTTATTTTAAAGCAAAGGCTTCTCAAAGTGTGGTCCCTGGAGAAGCAGTACCAGCAACCACTGAAACTTCAGAATGCAAATTCTCAGGCCCTACCTCAAACCTAGTGAATCACAAACACCTGGGGAGAAGCTGAGCAATCCAGTAATTCAACAGAGCCTCCAGGTGATTCTGATACATAATAAAACTAGAAGTCCACTGTTTAAAAATACCAATGTTTAGATATACATGAAAAATAAGGATTATTAATAAGCA